TTTTGATGAGACAAAGTGCGTTCTCTTCGTAATTGCATGTAGGTCAAAGTCTACAACGTCTCATGCGGCGCTAATTTGTTTATTTATTAATAATCAATTATTATTAACAAATTAGCGTATTTCGGATATTACGTGGGTTGGAAAAGGCCAATTTTGATGCGGTAGAGCCCATTCTTCTTCTGATTAGTTGTACCTTAACTTTGGGAGACTCCCACCGATCTTCATTTGTTTATTGATTTTTATTCGATCATTAAGAGCAAATTAGGCAATCGGACTGGGAGAGGGGGATTTTCACGCGGTAATCGACGCTCTTCTCGTACTTGGATTACAAGGTGATCCAGAACCACTAAGGGCCACTAAGGGCAGACTGATTTTCATTTGTTCATTGATCTTCAATGAATTAGTATATACAAATTCGGGCTGTTATCTGTGAGCTGGACGAGAAAAGTCTGATTTTTATGGAATAAGTCACTTTGATCATCATCCGGGATATTCCAAAACCGTTAAGGTCCGAATGATCTTCATTTGTTTCTTTTTACTAATTAATCATTATAAAAAAATTACACGTGCAATCTGTAACTAAGACTTAGAATGGATAATTTTTAATCAAAGAGAAGTGGATAACATTTATTCATAATGATTCATGTTCTATATGGTCTTCAGCTTTTTGAGAATTCACTTCCTGCATTAGGGTCTTGAACTTTCTATATAAAACCACGTTCATCCCGTCCAAATCGGCTAGTCCTACTCCCAACCGCAGATATCACGTCTAATTTGTTTATAACAATCAAATAAAAACCGATAAACAAATGAAGATCGGTGGGGGTCCTTTACAGTTAAAGTACAACTAATAAGAAGAAGAATGAGCTTGAATGACCGCATCACGATTGGCCGTTTCCACCCCACGTAATATCCGAAATACGATTATTTGTTAATAATAATTGATTATTTATAAATAAACAAATTAGCGCCGCATGAGACGTTGTAGACTTTGATGTACATGCAATTACGAAGAGAACGTACCTTGTCCCATCAAAATCGAACTTTCTTTATGCAATTCCGAGGTTCGGCTCTATTTTCGTCTAATTTTCCTGGACCACCTCTTAAACACTGGAAAAGGGAAGCGTCTAGGCAACTGATATATTAAATATTCAATAATTTTTATTTACATATTCTATTAACTTACTCATCCCACTTCGGTTCAGAGCCAGCTATTGGACAAAGTGTGATCGCTGGGAAACTTGTGTTCCAATCCAAGTAGGTGGTTTCCGTGACAAAACTTATAGGGTTCTTCTCGTATGTTTTATAAGATACTTTGAACACAGTGAGCATAAAGTAGACACTTGCAATAAATACTATTGCCCAAAATATCCTAAAATTCGAATTTGTTAAATTCTCTTAACAATGTTCTTCGATACCAGAAATCTAGGTATGCGAAAAATATCTAACTCCACAGACAAGACTTTTAACTGATGATATTGCCGGACACAACTACTTTATGAGCTGTCTGCTTATCTAGCATTTGATTACACCACAACAATACCTACAATGTACTCATTCAGCTTTTTTTTATTTGCTTAACGGAAAGATATTGCAATTTTAAGTTCTCTGCAAAAAACTAGAATTTTATATCGCCTATATCCAAAAAAAATCATAAACTGGCGCGCTGAGTATCTCCTGAACTGGTGGGTGTGACGTCACCGCATGGGAAACCGCTGCCGCATGCTGGTTTTAGTTGCCTGTGAAGTTACGATTGAGTATGTTAAGGTACCGAATTTTGTTAGCAATATGGAAGACACAGAACAGAAAAAAAATTACAAATATTGTATTGTTCCCCAGTGTGAGAGCACTAGCGTGAAGACACCTAAGAAAATATTTATTAGCCTGTCATGAAGATCTAAAATTAATAGTCTATTAGTTTCTACCCTGATTTGCTTTTGTTTTTTAATATCTTTTATTTGAAAAATGACTTATTTTGAAATCAACAAAACTATCCTGCGTAGTTTAGGTAAGTAATAACTACGTTTGTATCATCTAGAAACACTAAACTTGTGTCAGTGTTTGCTCATTGTTGATTTTTTTGTGAATATTATACAAATACCTATATGTACTAAGTATTTAAATAAAATTACATAATAAATAATATATATTATTAATATATTTATAAGACATTAGGTAGATTTATGTAGTTTCTATGGGAATTAAAATAGTAATAAAAATTTTGCATTTGACTAGGTAAATCTTTGAAACCTGTGAAAGTAACGGTTTCGTCCAATATTAAACGCAAAATCCTTATTTCTTACTTAGATACTATTCTTGTTATACAAAAACATTAAAACTTTCGCTACAAACGTACTTTATATAAGCTTTGCACGTTATTGAAACGTACCCTTTTCACTCCTTTCATCTCAGCATTGATAAAGTGTGGTTTTCATTTAAAAAATCCATCGCCATTACAAAGCTACTTCTGCTAAAACATCTATGTAGTAGATACTGTAACGGTTCTTTAGCCTGCAGATACAGAAACTGAAGCCGGCTGACCGTCCCATGCGGTGATGTCATTGCATTGCCACAGCTGAGAAATATTCGCATTTTAAAAATCATATAGTTCGAAAACCGCTCAACGGATTGAGTTGAAATTTTCGGGATCGCCTAATCATACTATACTGTGTATACAAAATAAGAACGTTTTTGAAAATTTACTGAATGACCCCATGCTAGTTAGAGCATGTAATTCATAGAGTAGTTGTTCCCCGCAATATCAGCAGTTAGGAGTCTTGTGTGTGAGGTTAGATATCTAGATTTCTGATTAAAAAGGATGAATTTAGTTGAATTAATTTAGTACAATTTGATATAGAGTAAAATGTGCTACAGTTAAAATAAGTATGTTTTTTTAAAATACGATAACATTCAGAGAATATCGTAATATCTAGAACTATTATGCATCTCAGAAAGAGTATTGTGCGTCATACATAAATATCCTAACATTACCTTATCGAAGGATGCCTTTTTTCATCTGCTACATATTTTAATCCATGCAAAGTTGTATTTTTCCCATAGTATTTGAGCCTCTTCATTTTAATACTTTACTATTTCAAATCGACCGCTTGCTAGTCTACGTTTCTATAACTGGAAAAAGTAGATATCACAGTCAATGGAAATGGGAAAAACATATTAGTGCCTTTCTTTTGATTCTAATAGTTATTATATCTAATGGATGTATTGTTTGGTAATGGTTAAATATCGCTATAGCTAATGCATTTTTTTAATAGAACTACGTTAGCATATACAACACTGTTCAATAATAAAAGTTATTTAACTTATTATAATTTTATATTTGCTTAATGTAGGTACATGAAAGGAAAATATTTAAATATTTTTCTATGCAATAATATTCAGTATAGATAATAATTTTATTACATTCCTGATTTTCAAATTCATATAGGTAGGTACTAAATTCAAAACAAACCTTTACTGTAAAAGTGGATACCTATACATTTTTTAATTTTGATGCAGACACAAGATATAAATCTGAAGAAGAAAAGCAAATAAAATTGAAGTGAAATTTTTAGATATTCTGGCAAAGAAATAAGGAAATAATTTTTATCGATTTTTTTAACTGATTTATGAAAATTATAGTTAATTCACACGTTGCCAATTTAGATACCAGAGGTCACTCCTCTGTTTACCATTTTCTTACTACAGGAGAGAAAATGGTAAAAACAAATATAATTTATGTCTCTTCGCTAACATTAGTATCTTTGTTATTGTTATTATGATGCTCTTCTAAGTTATGAAATTGTCGAATTTATAATATATGAATACGTATTGAAATAGAACTGACTGTTTCTCCAAACCCTGAATTTTCAAGTTGAAATGACCTTGTTGATAACTCTAAGTCGACACAAATCTAATGTAGATAAATATTAGGTATTTTCGTAAATATGCCTGTATGTTTTTGTGTTTTTTGTTTAAGTATTGAGAAATTAAAAGTAATTTTCGTTACTAGATACGAAGTTTAGGCTTTAAAACGGAAATATAGAAAAACAAAAAACGGAAGGAATTAATTTTTTTTATGTAACCCACTAAATAAATAATATATAAAACGGGTAATTATTTTAATATTTAGCTTTTATGAGAACATATATTTTTGAAGTAATTGGTTATATGGGACATCTGTTGGACGAGTTCTGAAATTGTCAGGTATCTATCTAGCTGGTAAATTCGTTTAAATATCTCTAAAACAGAATACTGTGTATTGTACTGACTGCATCGATGAGCTGTCCTGCCATCTGTTGGCTAATAGATTTATCAAAGAGGTGTGTGTGTGTGTAGTTTTCTAACCAAAATTTTCAGATTCCAACACAGTCACAGTTGTCAACTGTCAGCTGTCAAGTTAAATACTTCACAAAAACATTTTTCGTTCTGTTGGTCTTCAATTCTAAACTAAAACATAATATACTTCGTTGTAAACATGTTAGGTTCCTTATTAGAAAAATATTTTTCGTGCATTTATATGTAATATAAGCACTTGAATAATTTATTTGATAATTGAAATTGCGGTAAGTCATTTTCCATATATAAATCACGTACACAAGTACAAGTAAACGGGTGAATAATTATTTATGTTTCTACAATTTAAAGCTCCCACTGTGCGTCATTATGTCAGTCATTCAGAACACCTCAAACAGTAAAATACAGAAAAATAAAAGAGGCTCCATGATTCGTCCTCAAAGTGGATTAATTGATGGAGATTATTACATGGGCTTCCGATCAGATGCTGAAAATGAACCCCTTTCACCAGCATACAAGACACGACTGCATACACTGTTCAGGCAAATAGAAAAGGAATTTGACTTACTTTACCAAGAAAACCAAAATTGTAAGTGTGATAAACCAGGTGTGATAGAATTGAAAAATAATTTTATTTGCAGTACACGATAAGATAGATTTGCTAAATGAGAAAGCAGAAAGGGATACTTTTGATAAACCGGACTGTGTAGATTTTGAGAATAATTTTTCAAAAGCGTTGAGTAAGAAATGTAAGTATGTGGCAATATAATATTTCCTTTGTAATATTTTATATTTTAGTGAGTTCATCTTCACAAAAAAGTAAAACTGCTCACAAGTTGAAGGCTCAAACAAGTAAAATAGTGTCTAGTTTTAAAGCCCCACAGTTTAGTTGCGGGTTAGTGAAAGAATATATGGGACATAAAGATGGAGTTTGGGAAGTGTCTGTTGCAAGACCCGGTGTGCCAGTAATTGGAACAGCATCTGCTGGTAAGTTATTAATATTTGCTCTACTTCTTATTTTTCAAAATATAACTTCCCAATTCGTTTATATGTAGTTGTTTTTAATTTCCTGAAAAGTAGTAAGTAGGTACATACCTACTTTTCTATTATTTTAACTTTAAAAGTAATTTCATAAAGATGCTATTTAAGCGATAACTAAGGGTCAATCCAAATTAAAAAAAGATCTTAAATTTGATATACATTTATTTTTCTTAAAACTGGTTTTAGTTTGCAATCAATTTTACATGTACATGAAAAATTAAATATTATGTGAAATAATTCATAAATAGGTATGTTTTCTTTTTTAATAGACACAGAAAAAGTGCTTATTTTAGTAGGAATTCTTTACACTTCTATACGAAGCTTATAGACAGTCGATAATGTTTCCTTATCATTTTATGGTGTTTCTAAAAATTAATTTTAAGATAAATAGAGCAAATAAAGTATTATCTGTCTTAGGCTCATAATTAAAATAAGAGACGGAGTTTGTTTAAGTGAATACAATTAGTTTATTTGTAAATTGTAATGAAGGTTTATATACAGGGTGTTCCTAAATAAGTGTCGCAACGGAAAACTGTAAATTCCTCTTGAAAAAAGAAACATTGTTTTCCTCTTCCATTTTTCTCTCCGGGCTTTCGTTTTCGAGTTACACGGTGTCAAAACTTTAATTTTTTTTTAGTTTTTCGCCAATATGTTATGAATGGTTTGAACTACAGGACTGAGCTGTTGTACACACATTACCACTATTAATAGCTACTTTTTCGCACCTTTCTCGAATTCATTGGACGTGCCAGTGGTGGAGATTTTAAGGTATTGTAGGGGTTTCCCCCCCCCCCTTAATTTTACGCCACTGGAAAAATTGACTTTTGACAGCAAATTCTAAAACGCCAATGAATTTTACACAATAAGAGTTCTCTTGGTTCATTGCTCTAAAGTCAACCGTTTTCAAGAAAAATTACTTTTTATGAACAAAAGCAAACATTTTTGCTAACGTTCCATGTCAATACTATCGAAAAGTTGACCGATAGAGGTGAAGCCGCAGCGGCAGAAAGAAACATGATGAACGTAATTTTGAACAGTTTCTGTAAATTTTACTCGCCAAATTGATAAAAAAAGTTAAAATCCTATCTGTTGTTAAATTTTGTCAAAATTGTTAATTATTACTACCTATTTTTTGAATTACAAAAGATTTTCGAAACGTTAACAAAATGTTTGCTTTTGTTCATAAAAAGTCATTTTTCTTGAAAACGGTTGACTTTAAAGCAATGAACCAAGAGAACTCTTATTGTGTAAAATTCATTGGCGCTTTAGAATTTGCTGTCAAAAGTCAATTTTTCCAGTGGCGTAAAATTTAGGGGGGGAAAACCCTTACGATACCTTAAAATCTCCACCACTGGCACGTCCAATGAATTCGAGAAGGGTGCGAAAAAGTAGCTATTAATAGTGGTATGTGTGTACAAAAACTCAGTCCTGTAGTTCAAACGATTCCTAAGATATTGGCGAAAAACTAAAAAAAAAAATAAAGTTTTGACACCGTGCACCTCGAAAACGAAAGCCCGGAGAGAAAAATGGAAGAGGAAAAAAATGTTTCTTTTTTGAAGAGGAATTTACAGTTTTCCGTTGCAACACTTATTTAGGAACACCCTGTATATATGTATATACATACTTACAGAGGAATTTTAAATGGTCTAAAGGAATTGTTTACTTTGTTGCTGAATTTATTTTTTATTCTTTTTTATTTATCTTTTATTTTATTATGACTAAAATGTCAACTACTACCCATTGGAAAGAAAAGAGAAAATAAGTAGGTAATACATTTACATGTCCATAAAAGATTTTCATGAGGTGTCTCTTATTTATAGCATTTTTATTAATAATACCCTATTATTTATTAATGATCATTTAATAAATCTAATAATATTAAACACCTATTGCTGAAGATTATTTAATCAATCATATTCTTGATTTAAATATTAATTTTTTTTTAACAAGTGCATTTATGATATTTGATAAGTGAAGCCCGACGTGAAGCCGATGTCTCATTTAATGTCAAAACTGCTTTCGCCTTAAGATAAAAGTTGGCCTATTACGCTTCGAAATATGGAAAAAAAATTGAAGCAATGTAGGTGGTTGAAAAGAATTGAAAGTTGAATACATTTATTAATTATTTAAATTACACAATAATACATTGTTAACTTAATAGTCTAGTGTAGATGTCAATGTTTTTCAACTATTTTAAAGGATAATGTGAAACAAAAAAGTTGGAAATGAAACAGTGATAGTCACCCCCCTTAAAACTAAAAACTATCCCTTACTTGTGCAAGACTTGAACATTTGAATAATACTGCGTAAATTAGTGTCCAGTGGTGTATGTTTAAAAAATGTGAATATACACAGCCTTCATAAATGATTGCAAGCTACTTGACCAGTAATTTTATTTGAAACAGTAATTTTATTTCCTTAACGTTGGCAACTAAATTTCGGTAAAATTAAAAATTATTAAAACATTAAGATCAAAATTACATTAAAACACAACATTTTGTTTTACCGGCTGTGATTGGTATAATTTTTCACGAGATTTTATTTAACGAATCTGCGATCGCATTGTCTTGAACGTAGACGCAACGGTTTGTTATTGTTCATTGTAAACGAATCATTATAATATTGAAGTAAGCTTTAGGGATTTTTAGTTGATAGTATCAGTCGTGCAATGTTGGGTTCCCTAAGCTCGACGGTCACGTGGCTTGTAATCATTTATGAAGCCTGTATGTTTCTAGAAATGAGTTTATATAAAGTGAACTTTTATTTTTTATGTACCATCCATACAAAAAATATCGGAGAACAATTTAGGATCACGATTCGATTTTGACACGTTTTAGAAATTGAGTAAATCGTAATATGTCAATTATTTATACGTGATAATGTGATATATTCAAATTAATTGGTGTGTCGCTGATTTGCTCACATTCATAGTCGGTAAACCAGTTCACCGAATTGATGTATTAACAGCATACAGTTCGGCAAACTTATCTCGTCCATCCACGAACCACAAGCCGGTTAATATAGTGGTTCGCTATAGGGGCTTTTAGTACCTAGTTACCTATATTCCACTAGCCGTAATTTGTGAAACCACAAGTAATTCGAAATAAGTTTTTCGGTACGGCTCGTGATTCAAATATTCCACTGGTTGTGGGTAAATCATGGACCAGGGAACTGGACAGCGGTCCTTTGACTCGTGCTTTACCAATAGCCAACGAAAATTGTTTTGTCTCTTTAATACCGTAGCCCCACAAAAAAAAGTTCTGTACCAGAGACGTGAGTGCATAGATCTTATCTATTTTTTCTTGCTGAATTCGAATCAGCTGTCCAAAATCCGATCTGCCAGGACATTTTTTAGAAAAACGAAATAGTGGTGGTAGTAATTATTGGGGTGAATTCGTTGGGAAAAGGGTTCTTCCTATAAGCGAGCAGCAGCAGTTGCATTTTGAAACTCGTAAATAAATAGCTTATTATCTCATTATTCTCATAAACACGGGACATTTTCGCTTATCAAACAATAATCTTAAAGTTTAAATTTCGCGACACGTTAACAAGATGATTTAACAACTAACTGATAGGCCAAAAAACGCCAACATGGAAGAAAACAAAAAACATAGACGAATTATAATTAATTTTTTTTTCGCTTATTTTTGTGAATTTACAAAAAAAAAAAATATATATGAAAAGGTACCTACTTAATGAGGAAAATACATACACAGTTAAAAATTAAAAAAGCGACTTAAAAATCAGCCTGTATTATAGTAATGCAAATTTTAAATAGGTAATGTTCCAAGATTATACTTTTCTTAAGTAATTATATAATAAAGGTAATTTACACCCTGATGTTTTTTTTTACTTTTTATCTATTTAAAATCATTCAGCAAATTGTTTTGGTAATTATTTTTAACATTATTTAAAAAATTAAAATCAGTTTTTTAGGGGTTCTCCAGGATACTAATTATACAAATCAAATAAATACTCTGGTTTTAATTTGTTTTTAAACTGCACTTAAACTTGTGTGCGCACCACTGGGCAGCACCAGAACCGTTGTTTTATATGTTGTCGGTTGTTACATTTTTAAACCAGCCTGTGTGAAATTAGCAGCCAAATTTGGCAGCCGAAGTTCCGAAAATGCCCGAAAGTAGATGGACGTACCTGAATAAGTCAAATTTACTTACAAATATAAAAATTAGCAATATTAGCATGCAGAATCCTATGAAGACCACGAGGTCATATTAATCTCTTTTAGATAGGATAAATAAATTAAATAAATATTAAAATGTGTTATATTTGCACAATTTAAAGACACAGCACAAGGTATGCTAGCTAAATAATGTAATGGAAGGGGTAACACATTAGGAACTACCTTTCATCGTATAATTATTCCCATTGGCTTGGGGACTACATCTCGAAAAAATTAATAACCGGATACCGGATAATTTAAAGACCAAGCAGGTCGTGTGCCAGCTTCATATTTTGAGGCAAGGTGTCCTACATCAAGAACTAGCTCCCCTGTAAAAATCAACGCCTTGGCTTGGGGATTACACCTCGAAAAAATATTATAAACCGAGTTTTTCAAAAATTCAGTGATAATTTAAAGGCGAAGCAGGTCGTGTGCCAGCTTCAAATTTTGAGGCAAGGTGTCATACAACAAGCACTAGCTCCCCTGTGAAAATCATCCCTTTGGCTTGTGGATTACACCTCGAAAAGAATTAAAATCCAGATTTTTCAATAAAAACTATTATAAGAAGTGAAGTTCGAGTTTGTATGAAAGCGTGCTTCGACAGGGATTGCCATTCATCCCGTTTCTGCCCAATAGTTCCGGATCAGCACGTGCTTGATCATTGTTTACACGATTCGAAAATGCAAGTTGACTTTACACCTGATATGATATGTCAACTGATTTATAGACGGGCAAAAAAACGAAAGGCCAATTCGGCAAAAAAATG